CGCAGGGCATCTTTGTGTATCTGATCCATTCTTACAACATTTTATCTTCCATTTGAAACTTTCTTCTCAGATTTATGTGTTGTACATACTCTCTATAGATCTAAAAATAAATTTGTTTGGGAAATTCCAGGAAAAAACCAAAACTGGCACAAGAACATTGCTTGATGTGCACAGCTCACATATATGATTAAAAGTGTTTCAATAAAATATTCGACTGTTATAATATCTTACCTTCTTTGATCCGTCCAATTTGATAATTTCGGATAGATGTGTGGTCCAGCTAAAAAAGCTAATTTTAGAACAAAATCCACTTGCTGAAAATAAATATCGATCCCGATGGAAATACAACGACCCAATTTTTTTTTTAACCAGTTGTTATTGAATAACTCAAATAAAAAGGCCACGGCAATGTCTTGAAGTAAAATTGCTATGGCAGTGATATTTGAAATTTTCATTGACATGTAGTTCATTGCTTAAAAAATGAAAACATGAATGATCTCGGGTTCGTCTGTCTGTTTTTTATAGACTTCCGGTACACCGTCGGCCATCTTTACTCTTGTGATACTTCATCCTCGTATTCAAGCTTCCAGTCTTTTAAGCAGTGGTTTTCAAGGATGAGCAGCCGAGAAGAGCTTGTGCAATGGGCAAAGTTTGCCGAACAGGCAGAAAGATTCGAAGATATGGCTGAAGCCATGAAAAAAGTCACAGAAGGTTTGGCATCCTCTGACAATAAAGAACTGTCATCAGACGAGAGAAATCTCTTGTCGGTGGCGTACAAAAATGTCGTAGGTTCCCGACGATCATCGTGGCGAATGATGTCTATGTTGGAATCGAAAATAGAATCTAATCCAACAAAGCTGGCTCTGGCGAAAAAGTTCAGGCAGAAAATCGAGGAAGAACTGGAGAAAATTTGCTTAGAAGTTTTAGAACTTCTGGATAAGCATCTCTTAGTAAATGTAACATCAATCGACAGCAAGGTGTTCTTTCTGAAGATGCAGGGTGATTATCAAAGATATCGGGCAGAATATGCTAATGAAAAGGCTAAGGATGCCGTCATAGAAGAAGCACAGAAGTCATATCAGCTAGCGTATGATACTGCTAAAGCTAACATGAACCCAACACATCCTAACCGTTTAGGATTAGCTCTTAACTTTTCTGTATTCTACTACGAGATTAAAAACAATCCAGAGCAGGCTTGCCATTTAGCTCAACAAGCATTTGATGACGCAATAGCTGAACTTGACACTTTAGACGAGGAAATGTATAAGGACAGTACTCTCATCATGCAGCTCCTTCGGGACAATTTAAACCTGTGGACATCTGATGCCCAGCAAGAAGGAAAAGGAGATAATGCTGAAAACTAGTCATTTTAATTTATTTATGTGAAATTTTTGCTTTGATTTTACACCTTAAAACTAGTCATTGACTCTCTGGCATTTATTTTGATATTAATGAGAAATATTTGCATACCTTTAGCTTTGTCAATGCATGAAACATCAATGATAGCTGAAATTTGAATATTGTAACCATCAGAGATGGCAATTTATTTACATTTAACAATGTTTTTTTATTTATTTATTTAAATTGAATCTCACAATAATGGCATATGGAAATAAAATCAAATAATGAATGTAATGAAATTTTTTTATGTTTACACTATTATAATTTTTTTATTAAATTAAAAAAGGTTTATCATGTACTTGAAAAGTAATACATGTAAAGTCAAATAATAAATTTGATGTTTTAAATTTTTATATTTAACAGGTCTATTAAAACCTGAAAGGGAATGAAAAAAGAACAATAGTTTTCAAATCAGCATATTTGAACAGATTTGCAATACTGATTTCTAATATACTGTTTGATTTGTTTCATTTATTATTACAGTTTGGGGCTTAAAGCCTACACCTACATCCTCATATGAATATTCATTAAAATTGTGTGCAATTACTTGAATTATTATTCAATTTTTCATTTTTTTGCCTTTTCCTTGTACGTGTCATAGATTCTTTTCAATTGTTATCCTTTAAGATAATAATGTCAAGTTGGTGTCCGTTGATGTTTTTACCTATGTTTTTGTTTCCTCCAAAAATAGATATGATTTATGACTATTGCGTTCTATTAAGGATAGTTATTTATTTTGTTTGCTTGTTTGTTTTGATTAGGGTATACATGTACATGTTAATGTGGATTTACAATGAACTGCATGTCTAGAAACCGGTCATCTTTGAATTGCTTTAGTAATAACCAAAGTGTGCTGAATGATTTTTGTATGTTATACATGTATGTCGTATGTATTAAATTCATGTTGTAAAATTATTTTCTATTGTTATCTGTGAAAAGACCAATACTGTGAAATCACTAAATTTCCTGGATGTTTATTTTTCATTGTTTTTGAGGTAATGGAGAGGCCAATGAATTTAAGATCACCAACGAAATGTAAAATTTCATAAGCATTACTACTAAACATTTTCAAACCACGGATTTAAATCCCCACAAACCAATAAATTTTCCTCAAACCTCGAAAATTTGCCCCCACGAAATGCGTGATTTTTCAGTAAAAAAACATGTTTACAATTTTTCTACACTTCCATGTGTATAATCAATACAATTTTATATATTTATTCAATTTTGGTTTATTACCCCCATACCATACATTTCAAATGTGGAGAACCCTGACCACCCCAAAGTAAACTTTTCAGTTCTGAACTGATTTATGCTTTTTTCTAGCCAATGTGCTCAGCTGAGTGATATGGTCCATGAGACTTTTTATACTCCCCGCAAACGAAGTTTATGGGGGTATATAGGAATCACCTTGTCCGTCTGACCATCCGTCCGTCTAGCTGTCTATCCGTCTGTGCAAACGTGTCTGGTCCATATCTTTCTTATGGAGGAACATTAGAATCTACTACTCCACATAAAGATTGCCCATGACCTAAGAGTGTGACATGATCTTGACCCAAGATCATTTGAGGGAGTTCAAGGTCACTGGAACAAAAAATTCATAATGCGTGTCCAGTCCATATCTTTCTTATGGATAAACTTGGTAAGTTCTCATTTCACACAAAGATTGCTCATGACCTAAGGGTGTGTCATGACCTTGTGCAAGTTCAAGGTCACTGACAGAAAAAGTTCATAATTCGTGTCTGGTCTGTATATTTAGTCTTTTTTTTTATTAGGCTGCGTCTTCGTTTCATTTATAAAAAATATAATGTGCAATTACATCTAAATCAAAATTTTCAAGGGAATAGAAAGCTATTAAACATATAAAACGAAATGAGTTATCTTTCTTGCAGTAGAGCTTTTTTCAAAACCTTAACCCCTCCCAAACCCCACCTGCAAAAACTCAAAAGCTTCTCGAGATAGATAACACACGGAAATAAAAGTATTTAAACAGAATTTAAGACCTTGATATCATATTTTTACCTCAAAATTTATATGTGCCTTTCTTACGCCACAGGGAGTTGCTGTGTAAAATTCCAATGCAAAAGTTCAAAAGCTTCAAGAGAAATCGCACAGAAAAGGTGTTTCAGACAGACAGAAGTACAAGACGGACCATCCGTCAGACCAAATTAACAACCCCTATTTTGTGAAAGCGTGGCGGAGGCAAGTTAGCACCCCGTTAAAAATACCCGATATACATTGGTTGCTGATGATGGTAAAATAAAATACTTATGAATTTTGCACTAACTTTCTCGAAGAAAGTTAAAAATTTCACATTACTTTGGCGGATCCCATTAAGAAGTGGAGAGAGAGAGAGATGAGAGAGTTTAGGATAAACTATGTTTTCTGGAAAAGATATCTTAATAATTTTAAATCAAACGTAGTTCAAAACAGTTCGATCGACCATATATCTCTGCTCATAACTATATTATTTTCTTTAATTCCTCAATTTATCTCCATTTTCCTTCTTTTAATTCTTTCAATGTCGGGTTTCTATTGTCCATCAGGCACACAAAATGAATATTTTCAACCGGCCTCTTCTCTTTAGGATGAATATGAAAACAATATCGGTAACGTTATACATTGTACTAGTATAAATACATTTATAAATACATTTCTATATGATAAGGTGGGAATTTTAGAGTCATACTGACCATTTAATATTGTTCTTCGGTCGTAAATTTCAGCCTCTACACTTACTTTAAAATGATTGAACCAATTTCAACCACTTTTGGTACACTGCATTAATTACATGGTCAAGGAAATAAATACCACGTGTTCTCTGTCTCCCTGCATATTGGATCTAAGAGATGTGGCCACTGCAATGTTCGTCGGTCCTATCAGTCTCTTCTTCGGAACTGATTTATTTAGCCATTTTGGGTAGTATTTATGGTTGAAAGTGAAAAAAAACCCATAATTTCAATGAGCATTATGTGCCTCTTAAGACATAGGCAGACTTCATTTCTAGTTTTCACAAAGAATGTCCCAGAAACGAAGATCATGAGGATTTTCTATCCAAATTAATATAAAAATAACCAATGTGGAACTCCATGATAAAGCAAACGCAAACACAGACTGTATGAGAACTTTATAATTAAATGACAAAAACGGAGATGGCGAAAATACCACAAACCAGCCAACAACATTACCAAAGAAGTGCCTCGCTGGACACCCAGAAGGTATGCGGAGACCTGGTCGACCTAAGAAAACCGGGTGAAGGATTGCATGTGGAAAAGGAAGTGAGAGATCACAATTAAGCTAATTTAGGGAGAAATGGAAAGGAATGCTCAGGACAGGGAGAAGTGGAAATGTCTAGACATTAAATATAAGGAATTTATGGATTGGTCTTTGAGATGGTTACCTGCGTTGCGCAGTTGTCCTTCTTTACTAGAGTGACGAATCTAACTTCGGACAAAATACATGTACTATATAAAGGAAGTTCCCGTACTAGTAATTATTAGTATACAAAGTGGATCCCTCGCTGCTCAATGGTCATAACTGTCCAGTACATGTCTCATCACTTTGCAGTCTTTCACCGGTAACAATGATGACCACCAAGTCTGAAGAATGTAAAGCAATCAAACAACAGACATCTTTGAAAATCTCTTTGTCGTTACTATATATATTGAGTCATATATAGGCCTTTAATAAGGATTTTATTTATAAAATGACACCTTTCTTTCGGTTGTGAATTTCATGAACCAAGTCCCATATGATTCAGTTGCAAGGGCGGGGTCATGGGAGTTATGTTGACCATAAACAATGTGTGGCGGTCAAGCGGGTTCGATCGAAGGTGCATGGTCAGATAGTTCATATTGTACATAGTAGTGTACCTGACTAGATAAACAAGGGCCGCTGGGTTCGAATCCCGGTCTGGTCCGCCGCATTTTTCTCCTCTCTCAATACATTTGGTACTGTGCCATGCCTTTGAAGTGACAGGGAGCTATAATAGTGTGGGCTGGTGTCTTCGGGAGTCGTAGACCTTTAAGGAGGGGGGAATGTTCCGGTCAGACGAATTCGACCGCCAGCACCTGACTATAGGGATTCAAGGGCCCCGGGATCGAATCCCGGTATGGTCCACTGCATTTTTCAATCTCCAGTAACACATGTATCAGAAAAAATACATATTGATAGTCCTTTCTCGTGGCCACCTATAGCAGGCAAACTATCTATATCATCATGATTATTATACAAGAATTGAAAAATTCCATGGCTCTTGGGTCCAGCTAGTTTTCATACCGTACCCTTAGGGTTACGGTAAGTTGGTCAAGTATCGAAAATACATCCTTCTTACTCAAACATAAATAAAAAAAAATTAATGCTTAAGGTTTACTATATTTAAAAATTGTTGTATTCAAACTGATTAGCATCAGTCATATTATTTGCATAATTTTAGGACCACTATAACCCTCAAGAAGATTATAATATTCTTGTCCCACGAGTCTATGGATAAGACCCAGATTAAAGATGGAAGTTTATCATTGGTGTTTGTCTGTATACATTAATTGTATTATATTAAAATAACTCCAGAACTTTCCAAAGAGCTGCAAAAAATATATGTATACTGGATATATAAAAGACAATTTTATTGCCACATAAGACCATCATAGTTCCAGGTGTAGCTAAAATTGGGATAATGTAATTAACTTATGATTCTCAGATCAGCGTCAAAATCACACGTGGTCCTCTTGTTTTTATTTAGATAAGCCATCAACTGGTTATGGTATGCCATGGACTCTGTGCATTCTGTAAACAAAGAGCTCGTGCACAGTTTCGTTTATTAAGACAAACCCGAGTGACAATCAATGCGCAACTTGACAAAACGATTTTCTAGAAAGCTCTGAAGGAGCAAGAGGCTCTTTTTGTTGACACATTCTGGCATTATATGAAGCCTCAATATGCAACTTTACAAAAATCTAGCGGTTTCCTGATATTTTAGTATTTCGAAAGGTGAAAAACAGCATAATAAACAAACCTTCGTTTGCGAAAGACGATTTCATAAGCTAAAAATGTTTACAAATCGGAAACAAAAAGGTCATTTAACCATGAATGACACATTTACCATAGTCATTAATGAACCTACTGCATGCACAATACCCTCTGTGTTGCACAGAAGACGAGAACAATATCACTATATACATGATTCAACTTTATACAAAGTCAATGGTCAGACGTAATGCAAATTTTCAATTTTTTTAAAATGAAAACTTATTACCATATAATTTCAATAAACATTAAGCCAAGGGGTCACAGAGTTTTGGTGTATTTGAGAGGTCGGGTTTAACCGTTTTATATCAATTAAGATGTTAATTTATTCATCTATTTCAATCAAGAGTTTGTAAATGTTTACATGCTATTTCTCTGTCCTTCACTATAGTAATATAAAGGTATGCGGTATTTGTTGGGGGATGAGCTACTTGTACCTTGCCGTTATGATAAACATTTTGATGTACGAGATAAAGTCTGCCTACACACAATGTGTTTTTCGTCTTACACATGACGTACTCTCAGTCTAGCGTAGAGTAGTATAAAGTAATGTACTGTAATATACATAACCGTTCTTTTTTTTCGGGGGGAGGGGGGGGGGCTTTATGACCCTATTTATCATAAATTAAGAAAAAAACTTTAGTGTTTCTCAAAGGTTTAACTCCTTTTGTTTATAGAAGATACATGGTATTTGTATTTCTATAATAGTGGTAATTACGCATTCTAAATACGTGGTCATCACAAGATGCAATAACGATGTATCAAACAACTCAAGGTCGACTGCACATTCATCGGTGCAATAGTCAACGCCTAAAGTGCAATACCTCAGGCCTTTTTAAAATACTATGCAGACACACATAAGCGTTTTTAAGCCGACTTTAATTTCCATA